AAAAATGTGAGTCACCCCCCCCCCCCCTCACACCCCATCTCATGTATAGCCAAATGTTATATTTATTTGACCAAAAACTCAACTTTGCCCCTCTCCACCCATTTCAAATATCAACATTTTCTCTTCTCCGTCAAAATGCCTCCTTCCACCTCGTTCCTCATCTCAGAAAAACCATAGCGTCACAGATTGACACCTAACCTAGCAATTCCACACATCCTTCTCCTCTCTGCTGCATCACTCCCTCTCTCGCTCCGCCACCTCGGACCTCGTGATCCTCATTCCTTCAATCCTCTTACTCCCTGGCTCCTCCTCAATCACTTCTCCTCTCTCTCCCGCCCTCTTCTGAAGTCTCTCGCAAACCTTTTGAAGTATCTAAACCCTAAGCAACAATGCCTCCTCTTGAGCCTTTCTCCACGTCCCCCCCCAAGACATCTTCTAATTTCCTGCTCCAGAGCAGGGTGACTCATATTTTTTTCAATAATTGAGGGCTTAAAGCACATGAGCAAAAATAGAAGGGGCCGGTCACATGAGCTTCTCAAATTTAGGGACTTGACACAAATTTTCCAATATTTATTGGTAGGAAGACAAAAAAGGAAAAAAAGGAAAAACAAAAAAGAAAAATGATTGGAAAATATGGCGATAGCCCTCCGCTCCACCTCCATCGAGCATGAACAACAGCAACTCCGAGTCCAAAAGACCCGCCTTTTGGGCCGCAAACAGGCCCAACATCAAACCCTAACCCTACTTTTATTCCTCTCTCCTCTCTTCGCCCAATCTCTCCCAATCCTCTCCCGTCGTTTGCGACCAAGGTACGATTTTGATCCTTGTTTCTCTTTTATCTTGTCGTCGATTTGCTTCTGGGTATCGATTTGGAGAAGTCACTAGCGTTGAATCGATAGCTTTTTCGCTTGATTTCACAATCTGGGTGCCCGTATCTTCGCTTTTCATGATCTGGCTTATCTTTATTTTGTTGAAATTTTATGGATTGTTCTTAAAAATGCTTCCTTTTGTAGCTTTTTGGCTCGTAAATTGGAATTCTTTGCAATGGAGGGCTTTGGGGCTTCTCCTAACTTCAAGAAGAAGAGAAGAAGTGCAACTTCAAGAAGGCCTCGTCCAGATTCACAGTTTGTAGTCGAGGGTACAAGGGATGGGTCCTCTCATTCATCAACACCTTCTTCTGATAATGGAAGCAAACCGTCTCTTGATGAAAATCCAGCCTACGCTCCAAGAACTACATCGGTGAACAATATTGAGGGTTCCGGCAGTTTGCGAAAGATTAGGAAAGAGGATAGGAAGTATGGAGATATTAGCGGGTTTTATGAGAGTAATAGGAGTTCGAGAGGATGTCAACCTGGAGACGGGTTGGATTCTAAGAGGTCTAGCGAAGGTGTTCTTGCTCCGGCAAACTGGAAGAGTTCGGGGACTGAGAACAGGCTGAAGAAGGTGAAGCTGAAGGTTGGTGGAGTTACTCGAACTTTCCACCCGAAATCGATTTCTGAGCATGATGTTAGTGGTGTTTACACTTCTAAGCCTTCGGGCGCTGGGGATGCCTCTAGGCCTCATCGGCAAAAGTTGATCCTTCAGGTATCACTTGCTCTCTGTCATTGTTTCATCATGGGTATGCCTTATTTCATGATAATAGGACAATGTGATTTCCAAATGTGATAAGAAATTACTTACCCTATAATTTTCACGATGAAGTTTCTGAAAGTTGAAATTCTCTAGTGTTTCTTTCTCACGCCACAGCACAAGCCATCCATTAAAAGATAATAATGAAACATTACAATGAAGAAAGAGACAATCATACGTGAAAACCTCACACATGACTTAACCCTTCAAATAAGGTAAAACCTACAACTATAATAACCCAAAGGAATCAACAGTTGCATATCTACCAAAATGCCGCCCAACTAAATGCAGACTATAATCCACCTTATGATAAAGTAGATTCCTTTTTAGATTTCAATCCAAGCCCCGCATCATGAAAAATTTGAAGCAAAGGACCACCAAATGACATTTTAGAACTTCTTTAATGATGACGACCACATCACAACAATTTCGCTATTCTATCTCGATTCAATGCTAAACACCTTGGTTGCAACAGTGACAAGATGAATTATGCCTCTTCAATTGGAATGACCCATGTGTCTTTACTGCCACTTGCAAATCTCAACTCAATGGTCAAACCTTCTTGGATTCTTTGACAATGAGTTAATTTTGATTCTCTCTTAATCGGCAGGACCCATATGTCCTTGCCGAAAAAGATATTGATCACTAATGCCAAAACACTCCTTGGTTGCATCGGAGAAACGAGATAAATCACAAAATTTCCCCTTTAGTAGGACCCCTATGTCCTTGTCTTCAATTGCAAATTTCTCTTTAATGCTCTAACCTTTGTTACTTGGGTACTTCTTATTTGAAGCCATACCCCTACCTGACACGTACTTGTACCCGAACTCCTTGGACACTCCTTGCATATATGCATACACTTATTCGAGCATGTACTCAATTATATGATACGTGCTAATATAAAACAGTTTTCATACATTTTTTGGACACATCCTACATTCAACATCCACTTCTTGAAACTTATTGGACATAGGTTAGTTCCAAATTATTATTTTGAAGGGTCTTTTGGATGTCTAGTTTTAAAAAACTCGTTGGACATTGGTCACCTTCCAATTCGTAATCCACATAATAAAAGAAACACTCATCCTTGTTCTCATATAAATTATTAATTCCAATAAATAACATATATGCATATAAATATTTATATAGCCGTGCACTTGTATCCTACCTTTTATAAATTTACGAGGTCTGGTACCCGTACCCATGCAACATAGGCTCTAATCCTTCTTGATTACATTGACCACGAGTCAAGTTTTTATCCCCTTTTAGTCATTAGGACCGTATGTCCTAAGCACTAATCATATTGATCATCAATCTATCTTGAGTTGATACCTTAACCCTCATTCATATTTTTGATAATGATTCCCTAACCCTCCTTGGTAGTCTTGACAATGACAAGAATTGTGAATCATCCCCATTAGTAGACCCTTTGTGTTCTTACCAAATAATGCATGTAGGAGAATATAAATAGTAGGTTAACCAAGATATGAATATCCCTATATCAGTATATCTAACTACCTCATTCTTCTTCTTCAAGAATCACAAGAATAGTCGTCTATTTTCAACTTGTATCCCCCAATGTTAGTCCTGTTCAGACTTTCTCAAAATTGCTCATCAAGTTACAATCGTGAGACTTGAGATCAACCAAAAAACAACATTCACATAGCCCAGTTTCAGCATACATTGCTCGAATTGATAATATCCCTAGTTAGCCTATTGTCTTGGTAATTTCGAAGCAAACAGACTTGTCTATTTATTTGCTTTAAATCTTTCTTATTATTATTCCTTAATGATAAGATGTGCTAGTTGTTGGAATTTGTGACATTTCTTATATTAAGTTATTCTTATAAATGTGAATATGTAATCTGATCATGAAGCCAACCTTATTTCAACGCCGTCCGCACTCCTTGTAGGATAATTCAGATGATGATCACGCTCCCGCAGAGAGTGCGGATGGCTTGCAAGGGGGTATCTATGGAGAAGGGTGTTTACCTCGGGGGCCAAAGGATCAGGGCATATTATTTGAAGAAAGTTCATATGGAAAACAAATGCCCATTTCTGAGCCTGTTCGAAAGAGTAAAAGGGTTCCTAAGAGGCGAGTTTTAGATGGTGCACTTGATGAGGGTAATGAAGATGATGAGATCCGGTATCTCGAGAAACTCAAGGCTTCAAAGGTTTCCACTGATAACTCTGAGTTTGAGGATGATGGAGAGGAAAGTGTCAAGAAAAAGAGTATCACGAAGGTTTCTATTTCTAAGAGCAAAAAGGTTGCATATCATCTGGATGAAGACTATGGCTCATCGCGATCAGCCAAGGATAGCCGGAAAAAGTCAAGAACGGTAAAGGAATTTGTTGACAATGATTATATTGAAGAGGATGAGCTTGGTTCTGAAGATGGGATCGAAGACTCAAGGAAGAAGCTAAGGAAGGAATCTTTAGACACCTTGCCTGATGCCAGATCAGAACCTCTTACAACACGTCAGCGAGCTCTTCAGTCAGGCAAAGGTGCTTCTCTTGGAGAGAGTTTGGTTGAGTTCCCTAATGGATTACCACCTGCTCCCCCTAGAAGTAAGAACTTGAGAACTTAAATCATTTGTAATTCCAAATGATTCCCTTCTCCATGTTATTAATCTTTTATATGATGACTGCAGAGCAAAAGGAGAAGCTTTCCGAAGTGGAGCAGCAGGCAAAGAAAGCCGAGGCTGCTCAGAGGCGTAGAATGCAAGTTGAGAAGGCTGCTAGGGAATCTGAGGTCAGCTAATGTTTGACTTTTAGTTTCTACTTTTTCCCTTGTTAATTCAATTTGCCTTTGCTGGTTGATTTACATAGCTAAAACATTTGCAGGCTGAGGCAATAAGGAAAATTTTGGGCCAGGATTCTAACAGGAAGAAGAAGGAAGAGAAGTTGCGGAAAGAGCGTGATCAGTTGGCACAGGTAACAAATGGTCTCCTTAAAAAGATCCTGTTCTATCTATACTACTTTTGGTACTGCCATCCATTTACTTACACGTAAAGGTTTTAATGCCCTCAGAAAAGAGCTGCTGAATCTTTGGTGTTGGCATCAAACTCTATCAGATGTGTCATGGGGCCCACAAGTACCATTGTCACGTTTGGTGAAGATGTTGGTCTCCCAAGTATATTCGAGGCCAAGCCATCCAGGTATCCTTGTTTTATATTCATTCAGACTATGAATGGTAATTTTTTTTTTCTGTTGTAAATTTGGCTTATTTAGTTGTTATTGCTTGCAATCAGTTATCCTCCTGCACGAGAGAAATGTGCTGCCCCTTCTTGTCAAAATACATACAAATACCGGGATTCAAAATCAAATCTTCCATTATGCAGTTTACAGTGCTACAAAACCGTTCAAGGAAGTTCTCAGACGATATCAACATGGTGATGTTTGCTGCCATTGTGTGTTCTGAAATTTTGGAGGAGATGCTAATCAAACCAGTTTATTGCAATATTTGTATGATCCTTTCACAATGGTGGGGGAATGTTGTTTGTTCATTAAACTGGAAGATAGAAACCAAGAGGGCTTTTTGCACACTCAAGCCTCACATTGCAACGGAGACTTGCAACTATGGTTGCAATTGCAACTGGTGAGTTGCAATGAAACAATCACATGTAATGTAATCGGCAAAATTAACTAGTTTCATATAACTGTAATTGCAACTAGTGCTAATGGACTCTCGGTGCATCTCTTCTCATTTTATTGATTGTTAAATGTTAATTATTTTAAATTACTGAAAGTTAATCTAAACATGATAGAAATTCAAATACTCGATCTAAACATGTTTAGAAAACTGAAAAATATAATCTATATCAAAACGGAAATGTAATAGATTAAACTAACCTCCAGCCATCGTTATCTTACTCAAGGATATGGATGTTGATTTCGAAGATCTTCTAAACCTTATCTCTTCACTAAACGATGGTGTATTCTTTCTTTCAAAAATTGAAGAGCAGGTCTAGGGACCCGAAATATGTATGCTCCTTTTATACTCTCTCCATCAAAGAGCAATAAATGGAATTAGTGGGCAAAGTGGTCGGTTAATTCATAACCAACTCTCAAGATGATGGGAAGTTATTGGACCACATTGTGGTAACCGAAACTAACATTCTCCCACTTGGTCCAAACATTCCATCATCTTCCTTAATGAAAAACAAAATACATGAATCATGGTGATAGGTTCTCTAATGTTGAGTAGTATCTCCCATGTATCACAATGTATCGTGTCTCTCAATCCCAAATGACTTAATGAATAAACCCTATGTTTATTCGAGGTCCAAATTTTAATGACATTTCTCAATAAAATAAATGAATATGTATGTGCACAAAAACAAATGAGAAATATCAACTGAATAAGAGTTTCAACAAAATATCAAATGTACGTACAATGAATATCTACATAATGGAACCAAGTCCCATTCTTACTACATGATCCTTGAAATTCTTTGGTGGCATGCCTTTAGTCAAAGGATCAGCAATCATCAACTCAGTGCTAAGGTGCTCAATGACCACTTTCTTTTCCTTAACACGTTCTCTAATGGCCAAGTATTTGATGTCGATATGCTCAATGACCACTTTCTTTTCCTTAACACGTTCTCTAATGGCCAAGTATTTGATGTCGATATGCTTACTAAGTATTGATTATGGGAGCACATCGAGTTCCGAAGTCATGCATCAAGTACTGAAAGTTTGCATTCAAACATGCATATTGCCAAGATAGGGTATGAGAATGTACATGTACTATGTAGGCGATAATTCACACAATCGCGTTGAGAAAGAAACCTGGAGTAGAGGGAACTCTTTTGTCTGCGTTTGGTGTCTTTTCTTTCTTGTTTTCTCTCTTTTCTTGAAACTTGAGGGCGTACAGGGTGGTAAGTGCACAGCTATAACCTGAAGGTCACATGACTGCAGAAAACCAGTAAACTTTGGTATAATGGTGTTTACTACCCAAAGAGGATGGTGGGAGGAGTTCGTAGGTTATCCAAAAGAAGCTGTGAGTTTGTAAAATTACACGTGTGTTATCTGACTTTGTACACGGATTATGCAGACAAGATGTATCATAGAACTGCTAAAACGAATAAACCTGGAACAATGGGAGGTGGTCTTTTTTTTCTGTGTTCGTCGCTCTTTTTGTGTGTTCGTATGTAATGGTGGCTTATGGGCCTAACGGTTCACATTTTGGCCGAGTATCCGGCACATAAACTATCGAGAGCCAAACATATTGAAGGAAGGGAACAGGAATAGGCGCATCATGATATTGCGTCCCGTCAGAATGAATTAGTAGGATGGTAGAGGTGAATTCTGGCATTTGTCACGAGATTGACGGATGAATTAGTTGTGCTCCTATCCGAGTGGAGCATGCTATTTCCTCTTCAACCATAAAGATATACGCAATTATATGAACTAAATCCCCCGGCCAACCCCCTCCCCCCCCCAACCCCCACACACACACAACTTTTTTTAACGCATTTGCATTTTGGGGATAGGTGTTGGTTTGGGTGTGTAGACCAAACCTCGTTTCAGGCGCGATTCAGGCGAGGTTGAGCGACTTCAGGCAAACTCGTGACTGTCAAGCGAGCTCGATGTTGAGGCGACCCCTCGCAGGCGAGCTCGAGAACTTCCGCAGGCGAGCTCGAGCGCTGTGCAGGCGAGCTCGAGATCAGGCGAGGTCGTCGGCGAGTTGCAGGTGAGCTCAAGGCTTGTGAGGAGGCGCAGGCGAGCACCAGTGACAGCCTGCCGACAGCGACAGGTTGTCGCTAGGGTTTCCCTATAAAAGGAAAACCCAGAGCTCGAGCCCCGAGGCGGGACTCTCTCTCTCTCCTCACGCGTTCTCCCTCTCTAGCGGATAAATAACAACTATTTCCAATCAATTAGCTATGAACTTTGGAACGTTGTTAAAACAAAATACGAGAAGCCAACTACTCCTTTCATGGAATGGACTTCATCTCAAAGTAACAATGCAAATTTGGATTCTAAAGCAATAAACGTCTTGTTCTGTGCTCTTGACAAGAATGCGTTCAACAGGGTGTCAACGGCCACATCTGCATATGACATTTGGCACACACTCAAGGTAACTCATGCAGGCACAAGTAAGGTTAAAGAATCTAAATTTTTGTTCTTATACACAGATTCAAATTGTTTAGAATGAAAGAAAACGAGACCATTAGAGAGATGTTTACAAGGTTTACCGGTATCACCAATTTTCTCATCGGTCTTGGAAAAATATACACTCAAGTGGAGATGGTGCGAAAGATACTTCGTTCACTTACTTCACAATGGGAAAAGATAGTTATCGTAATAGAAGAAACAAATGACTTATCAACTCTTACGGTAGAAAATCTAATTGGTAACCTCATGGCTTATGAAGTTCAAATTGAAGATAGAAAGAATGAGGATTTAACAAAGAACAAGAAAGTGTTTGCATTCAATACTACTTTCGATAAAGAAGATTCAGATGATGATAAAGAAATGAGCATGTTTGCAAGCAAGTTTCGAAAGTTCATAAAACAAGGTAAGTTAAAAAAAAAAGAATTCAAATTCAAATAACTTTGTTTCAAATGTAACAAACCAGGACATATGAAGAAAGATTGTCCATTATTAAAAAATAAGCAAAAATCAAATTATTTCAACAACATCAATAATATTCAAAGCAACAAGAAAAGGAAGGCTTTGACGGCTACATGGGATGATAGTGATGATTTGTCTTCGGATGAAGAAATCGAAGAAAAGGAAAGCGCCCATATGTGTTTTATGACACAAGATAAAGTAAGTGACACTGAAGAGCTTTTAGATGCTTTCAATGAATTATATGAAATATTTTTGAGATTAAATTCTTCATATAATATTCTTAAAGGTGAAAATAAAAGATTACTTGAAGATTTTTTTGATTTTAATTCTTCTACTATTTCTAATTCTTAAGTAATTGAATTGAAAGAGGAAAATAAATCCTTAAAAAAGTCATATTTTGACTAATGAGAATGTTTATCTAAAATCAGAATGCAATAATATAAAAATTCGCATTAATGTTTTAGATAAAGATATTTCTTCTATTAAATTATAATATGATGATATATGTTTTAATGTTAGTAAATTCAATAAAGGTAAAGATAATTTGAATAATTTGATCTCATTTCAAAAATCTTCAAACAATCATTTTGGCATTGGATTTGTTCATAAGTATTTTACAAAGAATGATTATGTTTTGAAGAATAATAATAAGAATATTAATGCTAAACAAAATAAGTATATATGGATTCCTAAGAATTTTAATATTCATGATAGGAATGATTATATTTCATCTTATATGTATGAAGTTTGCAATTCAAAGAATTACACTTATGTTAATAAATGGAAACCAAATTTTAAGTGGATTTGGACTCCTAAGGGCTAATCCTAATGATATAATATAAAAGGGTACCAAAGTGCTTAATATTTTTATTAAGGTACCCGGGAAAAGAAAAATTTAACTAGAATTATATTTATTTCTTTTTGCTAATGACAAAGGGGAAGTTATAAAGAAAATTTTAAAATTTTTACTAATGCTTTGATGCGGGGGGAGTCAAAGATTTTATTTAATGATTTTATGCAGGGGGATTAAAATTTTTATATCTTAGTAACATATATTTATCATCATTAAAAAGGGGGAGAATGTTAAGAATCTTGATCCCAAGATTAGTTTGTTTTGATGATAACAAATATTATATGTTATGTGTATTATGTGCTAATATTTGTTTTACAGTATCAGAGCTATATTAATAATTATATTCAAAGAGATACTCAAGACATAGACGAGTTCAAGACAAAATGAAGCAAAGAAGAAGATATACTTTATTGTCAAAATGTAATTTTACATTTTCTTTGCTTAGAATATAAGCTTTAATCACTCACACACATGCACACGTATAGTGTTAGAACATATTAACACATGTTTAGTGTGTTGGTTAATAATAGAAATCCCCTATGTTAGCCATTAGAGTTTGTAGATATTAAATGAGTCTTAAAACATTTTATTTATACCCCTTAGCAATTCGAATCTGGAAATACTTAAAAGATCAAAGTTGTAGGTCTCTTCAATAGCTTTTCAACAAATCTTAAATCACCTCATTCTGAGGTCGGATGAGAAAGTTACAGTCAAAATACTAAAAATAGAATTCCAGAATCTATGAGTTTATAGTGTAGTCGACTACTATGCATTGTAGTCGACTACTAAGTAATTTTCTGACTTCACAGAGTCTGTTTAGACTCAGTGTAGTCGACTACTATGACTTGTAGTCAACTGCAGATATAGTTTTTCCATATTTTAGGTTTTGAATAAGTGACTGTTTATAGCCGTTTTGTGGATGTTAATTGGGTTTAAAATTATATCATTTCAGAGGCTATAAATAGGTTTAAACATCAGAAAATAAGCACCAAGTTTTGCACTTGTAAGATTCACATATTGTGCAAATTAACTCTCTAAACTTTTAGTTTTTCGATCTGTTTTTCCATAAAAGAGAGTTTCTGATATTATCTTTGTTCCTATCATTCTTAGGGCTTGTTTAGGCAATATTCAGAGAGTTAAAACGATTGATAAGCCACTGTTATATGTTCACAACCACATCAAGGCTTATAGGATTAGAATTGTATATTGTTTCAAAGAAAGATTCTCTCGGTTTATGAGAGGGGTTGATCTCTTGATCTAGAGGTCGGTTTACAATTAGCAT